GGACCTTTTACTGTGTGGTCAGGCGTGTAATTACAACAACAGGACTCTATAGAAACACAAAGGAAATGCATTGTAAACTAGAAAAGCTACAATTTCTGGGGAAATTGTGTGAAGTGTTCTTGCCTCCACCAGTAGTCTACTGTCAGGGATCCCCTCGATCCCCGCCGCGATGGTCCCGGCGCAGGCGCAGTATGCCGCCCTGTGCAGGGACACGAGCTCTAGGTCCGGGCCGGCCGCGGCGCGTGAGTACAGTGGCCTTCTGGTACTGTAAGGGACCGCCCGGCGACACCACTAGCACTCCACTAATCGGGCGTCCCCAGCGCACGGAGTCTAAGTCCCAGAGTACTTGTTCACCAGGGCCCCTGATGGTGGGGATGGACTTGGAGTACCCCGGGACCAGGTCGTGCTTACTGAGGATACCGGTCAGTGGTAGGGGTGTTCGCCAGGGGCTCCCACGGGAGAGAGCCAGGTATGAGGAGGTCTGGAGACCCCGTTGAGAGGGATGGATGGATGGATGGCTGAGCAAGTGCAGAGTCAGGCAAGCCGGGTTGGTAACGGGGAGGACAGTACGGTACAAGGCAGCCGGCAGAGAATAGTCGGGTCACACGCCAGGTCAGCAACAGTAGGTCAGATCCAATAGGGGACATACGGAAGAGAGGTCAGGCAAAGCAAGGGTCTGGGCAGGAGAATTCAGCAGTGGTCAGGTATAATCCGGGTCAGCAACTTACAGGTATAGGTTCAGGATACAGGATACAGGATGCAGGGCAAGGATAAGACCAGAAGGCACCGAATGACAGCTCAGGGCCGTTTAAATATCGCGCCCTGCGCTGCCATTGGTGCCCAGCGGGCGGGCGGCCTGGACCTAGAGCTCGCGTCGCTGCACAGGGCGGCATACTTCGCCTGCGCCGGGACCATCGCGGCAGGGATCGAGGGGATCCCTGACATCTACAACTGGAGTGGGCGGAGTAACTGGGTGGAGTGGGCGGAGTAACTGTTGTGTGGTTGGAGTGGCTGGAGTAACTGGGTGGAGTGGCTGGGTGGAGTAACTGTTGTGTGGTTGGAGTGGGCAGAGTAACTGAATGGTGGAGTGTGGGCGGAGTAACTGTGGAGTGGGCGGAGTGTGTGGTTGGAGTGGCTGGAGTAACTGGGTGGAGTGGGCGGAGTAACTGTTGTGTGGTTGGAGTGGCTGGAGTAACTGGGTGGAGTGGGCGGAGTAACTGTTGTGTGGTTGGAGTGGCTGGAGTAACTGAGTGGAATGGCTGGAGTAACTGTTGTTGTGTGGTTGGAGTGGGCGGAGTAACTGGGTGGAGTGGGCTGGGTGGAGTAACTGTTGTGTGGTTGGAGTGGCTGGAGTAACTGGGTGGAGTGGGCGGAGTAACTGTTGTGTGGTTGGAGTGGCTGGGTGGAGTGGAGTAACTGGTTGGAGTGGGCGGAGTAACTGGGTGGAGTGGCTGGAGTAACTGTTGTGTGGTTGGAGTGGCTGGAGTAACTGGGTGGACTGGGCAGAGTAACTTTATGGAGTGGGCGGAGTAACTGTGTGGAGTTTGGAGTGAGTAAAGATAGTAAACCTTACACTAACCAATTGATTGATCACATGGGCAGAGAAGAGCGGTTTAAAAACAAACTGCTCCAACTTGCTCACTTCGCTGGCGGTTGCCATCTTCAAACGGTTGTAGTTTATAAATTATAAATCCTACACTGAAGAGCTTTATATGTGAGAATCACAAGACCCAGACCTACATTTTGATGTATAGTATGTCTCTGAAATATTAAAAATGAAGGCACAGTCGCAGTTTAGAAATTGCCCTTCAAATCTGAGGTGGCTAGAGTGGAGTTTCAATGAATGTCAATGGGCGGCTTGAGTTGCAAACAAATGGTCATATTGTGAAAACTATCAGGACTATGGCTTAGCTGTGGACATTTTTAGTGGCAGCCGGGATAGCTGAACGTTGTGATATAAGATTTGTGTAGGTGGGCTTGAAAATGACAGAGTGATGGCAGTTTAGATATCATGTCCTGATTTTGTCAGCTCCCACTCTAGTTTTGAACATTCCGCCATTCATTCCTATGGGACCAATTTCACCACAAAAATGGCGATATTTCGTGAACCATTCGGCGAATCGTTCCACAAAGTAATAGCAATCCGATCGGAAACAATCCGCACGTTTCGGTATATTACTGTCTATGTAGTGTAACAACTGTGGGAGGAGTTAGGGTGGTAAATTTGGCTATAATAATAAGAACATATACAGTCAGGTCCATAAATATTGGGACATGGACACCATTGTAACATTTTTGGCTCTATACACCACAATAGATTTGAAATGAAACGAACAAGATGTGCTTTAACTGCAGACTGTCAGCTTTAATTTGAGGGAATTTACATCCAAATCAGGTGAACGGTGTAGGAATGACAACAGTTTGCATATGTGCCTCCCACTTGTTAAGGGACCAAAAGTAATGGGACAGAATAATAATCATAAATCAAACTTTCACTTTTTAATACTTGGTTGCAAATCCTTTGCAGTCAATGACAGCCTGAAGTGTGGAACGCATAGACATCACCAGACGCTGGGTGTCATCCCTGGTGATGCTCTGCCAGGCCTTTACTGCAACTGTCTTCAGTTCCTGCTTGTTCTTGGGGCATTTTCCCTTCAGTTTTGTCTTCAGCAAGTGAAATGCTCCATCGGATTCAGGTCAGGTGATTGGCCATTGCAGAACATTCCACTTCTTTGGTGTCTTTTGCAGTCTGCTTTGGGTCATTGTCCATCTGCACTGTGAAGCGTCCAATGAGTTGTGAAGCATTTGGCTGAATATGAGCCGATAATATTCCCGAAACACTTCACAATTCATCCGGCTGCTTCTGTCAGCAGTCACATCATCAATAAATACAAGAGAAGCAGTTCCATTGGCAGCCATACATGCCCACGCCATGACACTACCACCACCATGATCACTGATGAGGTGGTATGCTGAGGACCATGAGCAGTTCCTTCTCCATCCTCTTCTCTCACCAGGGAAAGAATTCTTCGCTCATCCACCACAGTTGTTTTCTGTGGTCTTCCGGGTCTTTTGGTGTTGCTGAGCTCACCGGTGCGTTCCTTCTTTTTAAGAATGTTCCAAACAGTTGTTTTGGCCACGCCTAATGTTTTTGCTATCTCTCTGATGGGTTTGTTTTGTTTTTTCAGCCTAATGATGGCTTCACTGATAGTGACAGCTCTTTGGATCTCATCTTGAGAGTTGACAGCAACAGATTCCAAATGCAAATAGCACACTTGAGATGAACTCTGGACCTTTTATCTGCTCATTGTAATTGGGATAATGAGGGAATAACACACACCTGGCCATGAAACAGCTGAGAAGCCAATTGTCCCATTACTTTTGGTCCCTTAACAAGTGGGAGGCACATATGCAAAGTGTTGTCATTCCTACACCGTTCACCTGATTTGGATGTAAATACCCTCAAATTAAAGCTGACAGTCTGCAGTTAAAGCACATCTTGTTTGTTTCATTTCAAATCCATTGTGGTGGTGTATAGAGCCAAAAATGTTAGAATTGTGTCCATGTCCCAATATTTATGGACCTGACTATATGTGAGATAACAATACATGGTCTTGCTATGCAAGAACACTTAATAAATAAAACTCACCTAAAGTTTGCTTGTTTGACAAATAACTTGTGTTGAAATGGAGATGAAACCGTATCCTCAAATATCAGGAGCCTGTGCTGGACTGCATGGAAAACAAAAGTATAGGTGTTGGGAAAACACATGCTTCACATTGCACTTACATGGCTTGTAAAAACCCCGTACATTCGTAAAAGCGGGGTTGTCTTTGACAGAAATCCAAATATTTGCTTTAAATAAACTTTTAGCTCCCTGTAACCTTTTGGATATTTCATTGTCTGATCTGAGGACGGTTTATTTGTTCATGTAAGGGTCAAGGACATCAACTCTCTGAAACACTTTTCTCTATTCAGATGTTTAGCAATAGCAAAATGGACAGTCTAGACCAGCAATGGGCAAACTACGGCCCGCGGGCCGTATACGGCCCGGCGGACCTTTTAATCCGGCCCGCGGAGCTAGGCTCCCGCTAGGCTTCTCTCACAGTCCGCCCTGAAGACCGGTGTAGCATGAAAATCTGTCTCCTATGAGGATCTGTCCCCCTCGACGTATCTGCGCATGTGCCGGAGATCGCCGATCGGCTGCTAATGCCTGAAACTGGCACATGCGCAGATACGTCGAGGGGGGACAGATCCTCATAGGAGACAGATTTTCATGCTACACCGGAACGGCGCGGGAACACGGCAAGAGGAACGCGCGGAGCAAAGGTAAGTGAATTGACACAGGGGGGACTTGGGGACCTAATATCGGGGATGAATTAATATGGGGAATGAATTACTATATGGGGGGATGAATTACTATATGGGGGATGAATTACTATGGGGGATGAATTACTATGGGGGGATGAATTACTATATGGGGGATGAATTACTATATGGGGGATGAATTACTATGGGGGATGAATTACTATATGGGGGATTAATTACTATATGGGGGATTAATTACTATATGGGGGATGAATTACTATGGGGGGGATGAATTACTATATGGGGGATGAATTACTATGGGGGGGATGAATTACTATATGGGGGATGAATTACTATGGGGGATGAATTACTATATGGGGGGATGAATTACTATGGGGGATGAATTACTATGGGGGATGAATTACTATATGGGGGGATTTAATTACTATGGGGGATGAATTACTATATGGGGGATGAATTACTATATGGGGGATGAATTACTATATATGGGGGATTAATTACTATGCTTGCTATGGGGGAATATTACTATACTTACTATGGATGACACATACACATCATTCATCTACTCTTGGTCCGGCCCCGGGTCCAATATATGAACCCATTGCGGCCCTCAAGTCAAAAAGTTTGCCCACCCCTGGTCTAGACCAACCTTTCTCAAGCATTGTACCCCAGAAGAACCCTTGAAATAATTTTATGGGTCTGCCAAAACCTATTAATTGGTGGTCAGTGGGAGGAATGTGACTTACATTAGTGGTCAATGGGAAGAATGCTCCCAGGTTCCCTGATGAAGTCCAGATCAGGGATCCTGGAGATCTTTGGGTCGTATTATGCAGACCTCCAGGGAAGAAAGGACCTTAGCCGGGACAGGATGGAAAGCTTTCCTGAGTCTACTCCAGGATTGGGAAATGGTGCATTACTTTTGATGAATTTGACAGAACCAGTTTCAGCGGATGAGGTAGTTCATGCTATAGACAAGCTGGCTACCAAAAAATCGCCTGGGCCAGATGGATTGACAGCTGAATTTTACAAGTGTTTTAAGTCCATTCTGGCTCCCTTTTTAGCGGAGGTTTTTAACAGCTGTCTAGAAGAGGGTTCGCTCCCTCCCTCCATGAGGTAATCCATTGTGATTCTTCTGTCAAACGGTAAAGACCCCTCAATGACTGAGAACTGGCGCCCCATCAGTCTTCTCAATGTTGATAGAAAGATCTTGGCAAAGATTTTTTGGCGCTTGTCGTCAGTAGCAGGCGATTTGTTGTCCAGCCATCAGCACTGTTCGGTCCAAGGTAGAAGTACCTTTTCAGCAGTTTTGGCTATCTGGGAAGCTTTGGAACGATGCAGGGCTGCTGGATGGAGAAAGTACTTGCTGGCATTGGATCAGGCAAAGGCTTTTGATTGAGTGAATCATGAATATCTGTGGTTGCTACTTGGTAGACACGGCCTGCAGGGGAGGTTTATAGATTGGATGAAGACATTATATAGAGGGGCTGAGAGCTTCCCACTTGTTAATGGTTGGGTTGGGCGGCCTTTTGAGGTCGGCTCTGGTGTGTGCCAGGGATGTCCTTTGAGCCCCCTGCTATATGCTTTCGCAATCGACCCCTTTGTAAGAAGGCTAGAGGGTGCATCGTTGTGCGGGGTGCCTCTGGGCATTGCTGGTGTGCCGCCTTTGAAGGTCGTTGCCTATGCTGATGATGTGTCTGTTATTATCTCTGGGACTGAGGAGGTGGTCTCTGTGACAGAGCAGTACACGGGAGGCTTCTGGCTCTAAAGTCAACCATGAAAAGAGTGACGTTTTCTGGATGGGTGAGGAGGGTGAAAGTTTTGAACTTCCAGATGCCTTCCCAGAGCCCCAGCAGGAAATTAAAGTGTTGGTCCTGGTGACTATGGTCATTGAACCTGGGAAAGCAGGTTGGTAGATGCCAATGCCAAAGTGGCAAGCTGGAAGAGATGGAGGCTTCCCTTGAGGGAGAGGGTTGACTTGATCAAAACTTACCTCATCCCGATCTTTTTACTGTATATGTCAGCTTCGTCTGTATCTTGCCGGTATCTCTCTATGCACGGGTCTACAGCTGTTTTTTCCAACTGTTATGGGGAAAATAGGCTGAACTTGATCAAACGCAATGTAACTTACCTGTCCAGGCGAGAGGGTGGCCTAGGAATGGTCAACTCCATTGTTTTCTTTTCTTTGCTCTTTTTAAAGTACAATCTTGGTAATCTGTTAGCAGAGACCCCGCCGGGATGGGTGGGTATTTTTCAGTCTTGGTTTAGTCCTTTTCTGCGTTGCTGGGAAGATGGCAGCCCAGTGTAGAGTCTGAGAGTCCAACATGGCAAGCTCCCAGCTTATGTTGCCCCATGTCTGAAAATACTTCGGCAGTGGCAGGTGACAGTGGAGGATATCAGGTCCCTTCCCAGGAAGCTTCCGGGGGAGAGGATTTTGGCTTCTGCTTTCAGTGTGTCACTGGCCTTAAAGGATTGCCCAGGCTCCATAATGAGGGAGGGATTGAGTTTAATTAACTTGGAGAGAATCCCTTTGAAATTTAGGGATCAAGCCTGGCTCACTTTCCATGGAAGGCTCTATGTGAGAGGGAACCTGAAGCACTGTCCTGTGGATGATCGGGATTGTCCTAGAGCAGAGTGTGTTGGTAAAGTGGAGTCTATGGACCACTTTCTGCTCCAGTGTCCCTTTAACATAGAGGTGTATAAAAGGGTGGGGAGGGTTCTGGGCATCCCCTTTCTCTATCGCATGAGTTATGCAGAGTGGGTGTACGGGGCATTCCCAGCTCGCTGGGATTTTGATTTGGATACACTTTTTTTCGTTAGTATAGTTGGTTACTTCATATGGAATGCACGGTGTCAGATTACCCTGCGGAAGAAAGTCCTCCCTGTTGAGGTGGTGGTGCACGATATTCTGGGTGAATGCCCCTTACATTGGTGGTCAGTGGGAAGAATGTCCCTTACATTGGTGATCAGTGGGAAGAATGCCCCTTACATTGGTGGTCAGTGGGAAGAATGTCCCTTACATTGGTGATCAGTGGGAAGAATGTCCCTTACATTGGTGGTCAGTGGGAAGAATGTCCCTTACATTGGTGGTCAGTGGGAAGAATGTCCCTTACATTGGGGGTCAGTGGGAAGAATGTCCCTTACATTGGAGGTCAGTGGGAAGAATGTCCCTTACATTGGAGGTCAGTGGGAAGAATGTCCCTTACATTGGGGGTCAGTGGGAAGAATGTCCCTTACATTGGGGGTCAGTGGGAAGAATGTCCCTTACATTGGTGGTCAGTGGGAAGAATGTCCCTTACATTGGTGGTCAGTGGGAAGAATGTCCCTTACATTGGGGGTCAGTGGGAAGAATGTTCCTTACATTGGTGGTCATTGGTCCCAAAAGACTTCTATAGGGTCATCTGCCAAGACTGGAGTAGCTTGGGAAATGGCACCATACAGGTCAACGAATACTGACTGCACATGCATGGTCAGCGCACCAGTCCAGGTACCCATGCTGACCCGTGTCCACAGCCAAAAGCGCCTACAACGGAGATGGGAGTGTCAGAACCTGGCAAATGAAGCAATAGTAGAAAGTGGCCTGTTCTGATGAATTCAAGAATGGTTTGAAGACCACAACAACAAGTTTGAGATGTTGACTTGTCCTCCAAACTTTCCAGATCTCAATCCAATCTGGCATCTATGGAATATGCTGGAAAAACAGGTCCGATCCACGGAGCTCCCACCTCACAACTTAAGGACCTGCTACTGACAGCTTGGTGCCAGATACCACAGCACACCTTCAGAGGTCTAATAGAGTCCATGCCTGGACGGGTTATGAAGGGTGGTGTAAATTTGGGCCAGGGGCGGAGGGTAGGAAGGATAAGTGTACGTTCTTGTACCTTAGAGTCCTCTTCTGTGTCATCATTTTTTTACTGCAGTCCTGTTCTTTACTGCTAAAAGTGTCTGTAGGTTGCCAGTGTACGTCACTATGAATAATTATGGATGACTAACCCTAAGGGGGACATATAAAAATAACGAAACAAACTGCAACAGTTTATATTCAAAGGGAAACTACCAAAACAGTTACAAAATGATTTTTCTCCGGATGTCTATTTTTCAAATCTGCTTCAAAATATGTGAAAAGCTACCCGGAATTCCTCGTATGTCAGATTGGACTTCTAGTATCAAATTAGTTTCCATAAGAGGCGTTCTCTCACTTCTTTCCCGTCCAAATTCCACATATAGCTCCGTGTGCCACACCCTGGCTGACTTCATGAGGAACAGAAAGGCGTTGTGTTGAGGGAAGCGCAGAATACCAGACACACGCGGGCCAAACATGAAATCTATATTTAGATCACAAAAAGTGCTTTCAGATGCCGGAGAGCACCAGATGACATCGCAATGTGCAGAAAATCTAAAGCTTTCTTGTTGGTGTTCGAAGAGATTCCACCATGAGGAATAAAAACCCAAAACTGTTGAAGATACAAAGTGCAGGTTCCTGGAGGGGCACCACCACATACCTTCATCAACCTTCTACACCCCCCAAGCCAAATGCCAGGACATTCTGAGAGTCAAAGATTTGGTTGCACCAGACAGTGTTGACGTTTGCCCAACCATTCCTGCTTTCTGCACTAATTAACCAATTGGGGTATCCATCATAGTGATGAGCCAATAGGAATGTGTGGGCACAGAGCTTTGCGGCACACTTACGCAATACCTGGACGTGTTGGAGCTTTGTCTATGAAGCACCCTCCTAGTTAGCTAGGGGGAGCTGGCTGATTATTTCTTACACAGAAGGCTAAGTAGCAGCCTTGGAATAGTCAGTCAAATTTGGGTCAGGGCTGAGATCAGTTCCCTGCAGGGGAAGCACTCCGGCACTGCCCAAGGGCCCGGTGTCAGTAGGGGGCCCCATGCAATGCCCCTGGTACCTTTTTTATAGGCTTTTTGGGGTGTGCTTTGAGTGTGGGCAAGGACACAGGGGCCCCATGATCCCCTATTGCCCGGGGGCCCCATGAGTTGTCAGTCCACCCCGGTTCCCTGATACCTCCCTCTGCTCTAGAATCTTGGAGAAGATTCTAGAAGCAGTGGGCTGGGGTGAGGAGGGGCTGGTCTGCACTCTTAAGGGATCCTGACCAATCCCCAAGCAGGAGGCTTGGCATGGGGTCAGGACAGCCCTTAAAAGTGTCTGAGACTTGTTGGCAGCAGGAGAGTTTGGGTGGAAGATGTGAGGAAGCTGAAATGCAGGAGCCTGGGAGGGCCTACCTACAGGCAGGGCGCTGGAAAGGAGGATCGCTCACCCTCGCCAGCTCCCCAGAGCGAGGACCACCTGTAGAGCCAGGGAAGAAGCCAGCCCAGCAGAAAGCTTAAAGGTAGACACCTACCTAAATCTGCTTGCAGGACTGAGACTGAGTCAGTAGTCCTACACCCCCTGGACCAACCAAGGGAAAAACAGCACTCTGGTGGGAAACCTGATTAGCTCCTTATCTGGGACTGTTTCATTTAAAGTGGCAGGCACTGGATTCTCTTGCCCAGGGATTCCCTCGGGCAGCAGGATAAGAGGATTATCCAGGGTCAGGGGAGGTACACCAGAAGAGGCTGGAGAGCTCTCCAAGAAAAGTTTCTGCTGTGTAAAGCCTTGTACATACAGTAGTTGCTAAGGAGTTTGTCCTCAGTTGCAGTTCCATTGGGCATCCCATATGCCCCGTACCCCATCCTAGTTCAACACCCCTTAATAAAACATGAAAACCAAGCTTAAGGACTGTTTGATTACAAATGCCAGTCTGTGGAAATCTTTAGCGACTTCTAAGAAGGGTAGTGCGACATCTATTAGAATGGCCCAGCATTAGGCCATGGGAGGGGGTCTGGGAGGTTGCTGCAGGTATGTGACACTTGCTGTTCAACCACTTGAAGACCCGCTAACGTACAGATACCTTATGGGTTTCAAGTGATATACTGCGGTGATGCCTGCAGCTGTTTCGTTTTTTTTTTCTATAAAAGCCATCTGAGCGGTGTTGTGGACCTTTTGAAATTATGTCTCAAAAACATGATTTTATCAAGACGTAATCCTACATAACATCAAGTCAGCATAGCCGGATGTTAAGGGGTTAATTTGTCTTGGTTGGAAAGTCGAATGACCATCTAGCTAGAGAAATGTAAACGATGGGTGAAGGGATTTTTTTTTTCCTCCAGAGACAATATACTATTTGAAGTTCTACAGGTGGTCAAACACCATTATTCAGACTTCTATAGCAGGTAAACATATACAAGGTCTGGACATGACAATAGAGGAACCAAACTGATTGTCTGAGAGCTTACCCAAACCTTGCAGAGTGTGATAAACCAACAGAACTCTCAAACTATCACAATATGCTATTGTCCACCAAGGTGAAAGTATTAATAGTTGTGTTTACTATGACTCCAATACAAGAGCCAGGCAAACAGAGAGTTTTTTCCCTACACATAGAAAATGTTGGTTCTAAAACAAAGAAGTTAAATTCAGGACATTTAAGACTAAAAATTGAATGTATCTAACTACAAAGAAATACTACAAAAACATAGTATCTAAGATGTTATAAAGAATAGGTTTCACACGCCACCAAATATCAGCAATGGGGGAATTGTATATCACTAATTTGAGTATTGAGATGATAAAAAGTAAGATATATGGTGAGTTAGCATCAGTGGTATGTCTCATCAGGAAATAGATGCTTTCACACAAGCTTGTATTTCAGGGAGGAATAACTGAATATACACATATATTCCATGGTTCTTATTTAGAACACTATAGGTATGATCACTTTTATATCTGGGAAAAAAACGTATATTTAATCCCTGAAATTACCTTAAAATTCCACCCGAGGTATGAGTCATCTCTGGATGTCGCTCCACTTCCTTAAATTGAACCTCTCCAAAACCGAGTTTCTTGTCTTCCCCCCCAGCCCGGACACCACCCCCCATTGATTTCTCCATCACATCCAACAACGCTACCATCAAACCCCCGCCCCGCAGGCCAGAGTACTGGGTGTCATTCTGGACTCCAACCTATCCTTCCAGCCCCAAGTCCAATCTTTAACAAACTCGTGCAGACTCCACCTCCGCAACATGCAGACTCCACCTCCGCAACATGCAGACTCCGCCTCCGCAACATCGCCAAAATCCGCACGTTCCTAACCCCAGAAACCACTAAACAGCTCATCCACTCCCTCATCATATCACGCTCGACTACTGCAACTCCCTCCTCACTGGCCTGCCTCGCCGCTGGCTATCCCCTCTTCAGTCCATTCTGAACACGGCGCTGCCAGACTCATTCACCTTTCCAACCGCTCTGTCTCCGCCACCCCCCTCTGCCAATCCCTCCACTGGCTTCCGATTGCGCAACGGATCAAATTCAAAATCCTAACGCTGACGTACAAAGCTGTCCACCATACTGCCCCGAACTACATCTCTGACCTAATATCCAAGTACCGCCCAACACGCACACTCCGCTCCTCACAAGACCTCCTTCTCTCTAGTTCCCTGGTCTCCTCCTCCCATGCCCGCCTCCAGGACTTCTCCAGGTGTCACCCATCCTCTGGAAACTCCCTGCCCCAACCCATCAGATTATCACCTACTCTCCTCTCCTTTAGGCGCACCCTGAAAACCCATCTCTTCAGGGAAGCCTACCCCACCCCTGCTAACTTGCCGACCTCCTCCACTCTTCCTACCACTCCATCCCCCACAGCTATCTCCTCCTGTGCCACCACCCCCTCCCTCCTAGATTGTAAGCTCGAAAGAGCAGGGCCCTCGATCCCCTCATGTTTTGCATTGTATTGGTATTGTTCTGTCACATGTTCTGTCTCCCTTTGTAATGTACAGCGCTGAGCGAACTATTGGCGCTTTAATAAATACTGTATAATAATAATAATAATAATCTCAAATACTCAAATTGTTCTATGGTACAAGACTGCCATCTGGCGGGCAGGTGAGAAATAGCTTATGTACACACATTTCTCACTAGCCAATCAAGAAGCCTGGTGGGAAGGTATCTTAGAACAATGGATTAGTTGGTATAAAAGCCCTTGTACCTTTTAAAAAAAAAAAGGAAAAACTCATCAAAAGAAAAGACTCATCAAAAAGAAAACCCTGACTGAAGAAAGACCTCATGAGAAGAAAATCGGAAGACATCTGAAGAGACCTCTCTATAACCCCTCTTCCATCCTTTCAAACTTCCAAACTTTACTAAATTGCTAAACCTCTGTACTCCTAACTTCCTACATTCTCCCATACTAAATCTCTATCACTTGCCCTATAATATCATTTCTAAAGGCGTTCCATTGCCAGCTGATCCACGGGAGAGTTTCATAGTCTGAATTCCGGGTGTGGTGTGAGACTATTAATTTAA